CCCAGCTACTTGGGAGGCGGAGGCAGGAGACTCGCTTGAGCCCAGGAGTTGGAGGTTGCTGTGAGCAGTGATGCCACGGCACTCTACCCAGGAGGACAGCTTGAGGCTCTGTCTCAATAAATAAATAAATAAATAAAAATAAAAAATAAATGAAGGTGAATTGGAGTGGGCCAAGTTATCCCTAAGAAACACTTTTGACTACAAAGTGTAAACTAGCTGGCTCGGCACCTATGGCTCAACCCGCTAAGGCGCCAGCCACATACGCCTGAGCTGGCGGGTTGCTGTGAGCTGTGATGCCACAGTTCTCTACCCAGGGTGACAGCTTGAAGCTCTGTCTCAAAAAAAAAAAAAAAAGTGTAAACTAGCTAACACAGACTTGGATTATTTTTCTCATGTACAAGAAATATAGAGGTGGGCAGTTTGCTGGTATTGTTTCAGCTGCCTAGAGCTGACACATTTGCTTTTCCAGTTTTTGAATTTCTCCACATCTGTATATGCTTTTTTTCTTTTGAAAAACTTAAAAGTCAAGACCAGGCACAGTGGCTCATGCCTGTAATTCTAGCACTCTGGGAGGCCAAGTTGGGTGGATTGCTTGAGCTCAGGAGTTCAAGAATTGCCTGAGCAAGAGGAGACCCCCCTCTACTAAAAATGGAGAAAGTGAGGCAAGAGGATTGCTAAGAGCCTAAGAGTTGGAGGTTGTTGTGAGCAATGACACCAGGGCACTACCCAGGGCAACAACTTGAGACTCTATCTCAAAAAAAAAGAAAAATTTAAAAGTTAATTGTGGGCGGTGCCTGTGGCTCAGTGAGTAGGGCGCCGGCCCCATATACTGAGCGTGGTGGGTTCAAACCCTGCCCCGGCCAAATTGCAACAAAAAAGTAGCCAGGTGTTGTGGCTGGCACCTGTAGTCCCAGTTACTTGGGAGGCTGAGGCAAGAGACTTACCTAAGCCCAAGAGCTGGAGGTTGTTGTGAGCTATGACACCACAGCACTACCCAGGGCAATAGCTTGAGACTCTGTGTCTCAAAAAAAAGAGAAAAATTAAAAAGTTAATTGTGGGCAGCACCTGTGGCTTAGTGAGTAGGGCGCCAGCCCCATATATCGAGGTGGCAGGTTCGAACTCGGCCCTGGCCAAACTGCAACAAAAAAAATAGCCAGGCGTTGAGGTGGGCACCTGTAGTCTCAGTTACATGGGATGGGAGGCTGAGGCAAGAGAATCGCCTAAGTCCAAGAACTGGAGGTTGCTGTGAGCTATGATGCAGTAGCACTCTACTGATGGTGACAAACTGAGACTCCGTCTCTGAAAGAAAAGGTTAATGCATATGTGTCCCTTTGCCTCCCAAACCTTTGGTACTTATTTCCTCAAAACAAAGACATTCTCAGGTGGGCCCTGGTCCTATTTTTAATTTGGTATCTTATTGCCACAAAGAGTCTGTTCTGTCAGTATTATCTCTATTTTAACATTAATGATGGCTAGCTGTTGTGGGGGGTTATAATGAGATATGTCTGATCTCCCATCCTGTCATGGCCAGGAACTCAGTTTTAAGGTTTCTCTGGGGTCACCTTGGCCAAGAAAGGCTCTGTTGAGTCACTCTGAAGCTTAGGATCTTTAGTTTATAGCCTGATCCTCCTTTTGGAAGCTACGGACTGACCCTTGAATGGTATCAAGGTATTCTTTGTGTACAAAGAAATCCTACCTTCCCTTTGAACATCATCCTTACCTTGCTTTGCAGAAGAAAGGCACACCTCTCATCCAATCTTACTAGAATGCTATGAACACCAGGGTACCATAAAAAAGTTGTGGATACTGAGGTACTGTGAAATTGAATGGTTTCCAATACTTGGCTTTCAACAAAAATAAAAGAGGATTTAATGCTCACCATCCGTAATCATCAGAGAAATGCAAATCAAAACTACTTTGAGATATCATCTAACACCAGTAAGATTAACCCATATCACAAAATCCCAAAATCACAGATGCTGGCATGGATGTGGAGAAAAGGGAACACTTCTACACTTCTGGTGGGATTGCAAACTAATATGTTCCTTTTGGAAAGACGTCTGGAGAACACTTAGAGAACTAAAAATAGATCTGCCGTTTGACCCTGCAATTCCCTTATTAGGTATATACCCAGAAGACCAGAAATCACACTACAATAAAGATGTCTGTATCAGAATGTTCATTGCAGCCCAATTCATAATTGCTAGGTCATGGAAGAAGCCCAAGAGCCCATCAATCCACAAATGGATCAATAAATTGTGGTATATG